CCTTCCCGCCCCAGCCCGGGTTTGTTCAGTCAGGGCTCCAGCCCGGCGGCCGGGAAGAAGAAAAGGGAAAGAGGGAAGGAGCCTTTACCTGGCTCTGACGCGACGGGTCCCAGGCCCCTGGCTCCGCTTCCCACTCAGAGCTCTCCTCCCCTCTCTTCCCCGCCACCCGCTTCTACGCAGATCGATCCCCCCAGTCCCTGAGGAGCGTCCGCCAACTCCGCAGGACCCCGCCGGGAAGCAGGGCCCGCCCCCTTGCCAATCACCGCCCGATTTCTATCGACCGATGGGGCCTAGAGCCAATAGGAACAGCTGATCCCGAGAGGCCAGGAATGAGGGGGAGGAGCTGACAAAACTTGGGGGTGTGACTAGCACTGCCGAGGCGTGGTCGCTGAGTAAGCTCCTCCCTAGGTTATCGAACCCTAAAGCAGAGCTGATGGGCGGGATTAAGATGGAACCGACTACCACACACAAACGCTTAAGCGAAGGCTCGACCAATTGGATTGGGGTAGAGAGAAGAGGATGTTGCGGAGAATTTCAGCCAATAGAGAGTAGAGACCGGCGGGGACTGTAGAGCCTCTTCCAGTAAGAAACGTGATGGGCGTGCCCCACTACTTTCACCAGGGCGGGAGAAGGCTTTGCCGAAACCTTCCCGAAGTCGGCCAATGAGAACGGAGGCGGAGCCAAAGTCGACCAATCAGAAAGCCTAGCTGACCTCGGCACCGTTACTGGGGTGGGGCGTAGTTCTCCACGCCACTAAGCGCTCACCAGGGGACGCCCCGGAGCCTTCCAATGCGTGCAGTGGACGAGGTCCAGTTGCCCCAATCGGTGCGCGGCGCCGCCAATTCAAACTGACAGCCGGTTGAAAAAGCGGAAGAGAGCCAAAAACGACGTGTTCGGTGACAGGCCCCAGCGCCGAGTGAGCCCCCAAAGCGACCTCCGTCCCGTCCCGCTAACTCCACTGCGCGCCGCGGAGCGGCTGCTCCGGGAGAGACCCGAGGGGACCGCGGGGGGCCCGAGGGCGAGCTGAGGGGAGGGAGGACTCGAGAGAAACGGCGCGAGCACGCTGAGAGCCGGGTCTGCCAGAAGAGGGGCCGCGGACCTGCAGAGCGGAGAAAGGTCGCGGAAGGGAAGGGGGTTACTGAGGAGAACCAGGGATCGCCCGGGTGGAAGAAGCCGAGGGCGTTTCTGAATCCTGGGAAGAGGAAGGGTGGGGAGGGACGCTCAGCCCGAGATCCGAGGGAAGGGACTTGGAGCGCTCCGAGGAGGGGCCAAGAGCTGAGAGAGGGACGGCTTAGGAAAAGAGCTTTAAAGAAAAGAGCCTGCGGGAGAAGCCTGAGGGAATCGCTGAAGGGGCGGGAGCTAAGGAGTAGAGGATCCTTGTAGACGGCTGGAGGGGAAAGCTGTCGAGAAATTTCTTGCAGACGCCACTGCATTCCCCGAAAGTCAAAGGAAATCCAATTTGCCTCTCTCCCCTGTTCCTACTCAATAAATGTTATTACCTTTACCCTTCCAACGGGAAAACAGAAGAGTTCTTTTCCTTCCCAATTTTTAGTGTTTAGAAAAGCTCGAGGCCTAGCAACTTGATTTTTAGCCTGGGGAAGTCCAAGTAGGGGGACTCTTGTTCTTGTTTCCTTTTTCAAAATCCCACACCTCCTCCTCCTCCTCCTAGAGAAGCCATGTCTACCAACAGTTGTAGTTTCAAAGACCGATGTGTGTCCATCCTGTGTTGCAAATTCTGTAAACAAGTGCTCAGCTCTAGGGGAATGAAGGCTGTTTTGCTGGCTGATACTGAAATAGATCTTTTCTCTACAGACATCCCTCCTACCAAGTAAGTCATGCTAGTGGCGGGCAAAGGTAACCTTTAAATGGGAAAAGTGTATGGCTTGGACCTCTGGGAGTCAACAAGGAGGTTATCATTTTGGTGTTCCAGCCACTCCCAACAGTCTGATGATCCCCTTGGAATATATCTAAGCGGACAGACTGTCTGGACAAAGTCTGTGGTTTAGCCAGCGTGGTCAGTCCTGATGTAATGTTTCTAGTTCAGTTACAGTCAGTCATGTGACCACGTATTCCTTAAGTTGGATCCCTAGCTTGTTGCCTTGCCCAACCTTCCTATTTCACTGAATCAAGTCCATGACCTGGAGTCTAGGTACATTCAGGCAAAATTTTCTGTACTGTTGGGAAGGAGAGGTCATTTAAGGTTTTTGTTTTTATCCATGAACGTTTAAACCAAAAAAAAAAGGATAGTTTTCTATCAGTATTTGCAATTGGCATCCCTGAGTCAGGTTCGTTATCCATCAAATTCAATATTCTTTCCTCAAAAATCTCTCTCTAAGAGAAACTTAAATAGACTTTTATGGGATGAAAAGTAAAGACTCAGTCTTGAAATAATCCTTTTCTCCCATAAAGCCTATTTTGGATATTATACATTTATTTACATAATTGAACCCTTTTAAAACTGTTTTCAGCTACTGTCCCCTTTGGGGTATAGAGTTTTTAAGAATGTGCTTCCTATTTGGCAAAATAATTCATTTTATTTGACTCAAATATATCTTTCTCTGGTTTTAAATGGTACCTTCTCTTTCTTTCCAAGATTTAGTTCTTTATTGAGATGTTTTCACTAAAATGTTATCCAAAATATGAGTGGCTAGCTATTCTGTCTTTGGACACAGAGCCAGAAGAAACAGTCTAATAACCATAATTCATTTAAGATGAATTTCAGGATAATGATAGAAACCTTATAAGTTTTAAAATTTACCCACATAGGCTGGGCTCGGTGGCTCAGCCTGTAATCCCAGCATTTTGAGAGGCCGAGGTGAGTGGATTGCCTGAGCCCGCGGGTTCGAGACCCGCCTGGGCAACTTGCCAAGACCTCATCTCTACAATAAATCAAAAATTAGCCGGGCGTGGTAGAGCATGCCTGTAGTTCCAGCTACTTGGAAGGCTGAGGTGGAAGGATCGCCGGAGCCCAGCAGGTCAAGGCTGTGGTGGCTGGGAGCGGCCATTGCACTCCAGTCTGGGTGACAGAGTGAGACTCCAACTCAAAAAAAAAAAAAAAATTTACCCACATAAAGCTGCGGACTCATCCTCCATTGAAATCTTTTCTGAATTGGTCTAAGTGTAACCATACCTAATAGCAAAACCAAAAGTCCTCATTTACTGCAGAGATAAATGGGTTAATTTTTTACTTTTATTTATTTATTTATTTTTAGCCAGAGTTTCATTCTGTCACCCAGGCTGGAGTACAGTGGCAAGAAGATCACAGCTCACAGCAGCCTCAATCTCCCAGGCTCAGGGATTCCTTCCGCCTCAGCCTCTCGAATAGCTGAAACTACATGCACATGTCACCACGCCCAGCTAATTTTTTGATTTTTTTGTAGAGATAAGGTCTCACTATACTGCCCAGGCTGGTCTCAAAATCCTAGCCTCAAGTAGTCCTCTCACCTGGGCCTCCCAAAGTGCTGGGATTGCAGACATGAGCCACTGCGCCCAACTAAATGGCTTAATATTTTAAATGTGTGCATGTGTGTGTATGCATATGTATGTTGCAAAAATGTAAAAATACTAGACAATAAATCAGAGCTTACTGTTGCAAAAGTTCTATGATTCCTTGTCTAGTACTTTTTCTTTCTAGTAGCACATACACACAAAAAAAACCTTTTCAATAGCTATAAGTAATACAATGGTTATAAAAGAGGCTTAGGTGAATTGTTATAGGTTAGACCAAAGTCTAGAATAGAATTATATTTTTTCTATTGTTTACTCTTCTAAGTAAGGGTTCTAATAGCAATGGATTAACATGCTGTGTGTAAATCAACAAACACATAAAACTTTTTAAATGGAAGGTTTATCACATGTTTATAATGAGCTCACAAATATTAACTGACTCTTACAAAATATACTATAGTTCTATGTTAGAGTCTCTTTCAGCTCTTTGGACCTTAAAATTTTGTTAACCACAATTAAAAGTACATTTGATGGTGAAGATGTGGAGAAATTGGAAAACATATATTGTAGGATATAAAATGGTATGGCCATTATATCATTATAGTATACTGATTCCTCAAAAAATTAAACATAGAATTGCCTTATGATCCAGCACTTCTACTTCTGGGTATATATCCAAAAGAATCCAAAGCAGGACCTTAGAGAGATAGTGTTCGTAACAACATTATTCATAATAGCCAAGAGGTGGAAGGAATCCAAATGTCCAACGACTCCAAGGTGAATGTATAAACACAATGTGGTACAGCATGTCTGTAGTCTCAGTTACTCTGTAGACTGAGGCAGGAGGATCACTTGAACCCAAGAGTTCTGGACTGGCCTGGACAACATGAGACCCTGTCTCTTTAAAAAAAAAAAAAAAAAAGTGGCCAAACCTGTAATCTCAGCACTTTGGGAGGCTGAGGCCAGTGAATTGCCTGAGCCTGAGGGTTCAAGACCAGCCCAGGCAAATTGGCAAGCCCTGTCTCTGCAATAAAATAAAAAATTAGCCAGGTGTGATAGAGTGCGCCTGTAGTTCCAGCTACTGGGAAGGTTGAGGCAGAAGGATCGCCTGAGCCCAGCAGGTCGACGCTGGGGTGGCCATGAGCATGCCACTGCACTCCAGCCTGGGTAACAGAGTGAGACACCGACTCAAAAAAAAAAGAAAGAAATCCTGTCAAATGCTACAACATGGATGAACCTTGAGGAATTTATATTAAGTGAAATAAGTTAGTCACAAAAAGATAAATAATGTATGATTCCACTTATGTAAAGTACCTAAAGTTGGCAAATGTGTAAAAACAAAGTAAACTAGTGGTGGCCAGGGGCTAGGAGGAGAGGAAGTGGAAGTTGTTATTTAATAAGTATAGAGCTTCAGTATTACAAGATGAAGAGTCTGGAGATTCATTGCACACCAATGTGATTATATTTAATACTTCTGATCTATACACTTAAGCATGCTTACTTTTGTAAATTGGGGGGGGGTTGCCACAATTAAATTTTTAAAAAATACATTTGACTGTCTTTATGCTTTTCTCTCTCCAGCACAGTGGACTTCATTGGAAGATGCTATTTCACCAAAATCTGCAAATGTAAACTGAAAGACATTGCATGTTTAAAATGGTAATTTGTGACAATATTCTAGATAGCCATGAGTTAGAAAGATGGATGTTGACACCAGAGTAGAGAGAAATGTTCAATGGGCTGTAGTTGGCACTGGTGTAGAGCATGCAATGAGCCAGTTATTTGTTACTTAGAGATATTTTTTAAGGGGTCTTTGATACTTCACATTTTTATATCTTTTTACAATTTTCAAAGTGCATTCACAGTATCTGCTTTAACTTTCAGAACAAGGCAATGTAATTTAGGGGGAGAAACACTTAGATTTACAGTCATAAAAATCAGGCTTGAGGCCTGGCCTTACCCTTACTCTATGTGATCTTGAATAAACTCCTTAAACCTCTAAATCCCTGAACCTCTGTTTCCCTATCTTTCCTATCTTAATAAGATAGAAATTAAAATGTCTTCAGTAAGCCGGACTAGGTGGCTCAGCCTGTAATCCCATGCTTTGGGAGGCTGAGGTGAGTGGATTGCCTGAGCCCGTGGGTTCGAGACCGCCTGGGCAACTTGGCGAGACCTCATCTCCACAATAAATCAAAAAATCATCCAGGCATGGTAGCGCGTGCCTGTAATTTCCGGCTACTC